GGTCTGTCTGTCATCCTTTGGAACCTAATTTGAAATCTTTCAAGCTGTATTGTCTGTCTGTGTTCATCCGAGGCTCCAACACTCTCGGTCCCCCAGCCTTTTGTTGTTCCACGTCAGTATTCTCTGTCTGGTCTCTACACCCATCTGAGCTTACAGCCTGGCCATCATCTTGCAAACAGTGCCATGTCATGTCTTCCGGCTCACCAGAAGATGCCCAGGCCCCTTGCAAATGTCACTCACTCTGTTTCCATTCTGATATCTCTGAAGTTCCTTTCTCCTGTGTTTTTCTGCCCTACTCTCTGGAAGGATGAGACACTGGTGGAGAGATGTCATGCTCCCCCAGACTCCAGGGTAGGAGGAATGTTACCCACCACGGATGAAGGTGATGCGAATGCTATTGAGACAAGGCTCCTGACCTGCTCCATAACCGACTGGAAGGCAAAGACCACTAGACCAGAAGCCCTGGGAGGCCTGTGACTCTTTGATCACCACCATCTCTAGCTCCTGGGGCAATACAGGCCCCAGTTGGCACTGGGTGAGAACCAGCTGGCCCTCCTCCATGAATCTAACCTCCAAGGCTGGCGGGGTGCTTTTGACTCTTCTCTTCTCCATTTGTCTGCTCACCAATGACCCATCCCTAGCAGGTGAGATCATCCCTTCCTGAGTGAAAACACTCCCTGCTCCCCTAAGATCCCAAACAGGGTTTTATTAAGAGAGCCAGTAGGTCTCCTTACAGGTGTCCAAGGAGCTGTTTAATGTCATCGTTGAATGCGTTCAACGATGACATGGCTGTGGATGATTCACGGCAAACATTCCTGGACTCTCCCCGCTCACCGGATATTCTAAGTTCAAAGGAGCAGCCTTCACTAGCCAACCAAGGAGTTCTCCAAGCAAAGATAATTCTAGAGCCTAGTTATATGTAACATATGATTCTTAGCGCATAATGGATTCTAAACATTCATATCCGGTGAAATGGACTAAGTCGAGTGTGAAGTGTGACATATGAACTGATTTTCCATTAAGGATGCAAGCAGAACTGAATGGCAAAGCAGATTTATGCTAGGGAGGGCGTCTCTCCGGGGGTAGGTGGGTGGGGAGGCAAGGTGCTCTCTCGGGAAAAACGGGTTTGTATGTCAGGTGTCCGTGTCAAAAACCCCAAGATTCACGTGCCAGGTTTATGAAAGGGAAAATATTAGAGGTACTCTCTGAAAGTAAGAACTTTTCTTTCTTTCCTTGGTGAGACTTGACTAAGCACCCATCAGTCACTCTAAGCAGGCTGTGGTGAGGATACCAGCATATCTGAGGAATTCCTCACAAAGGCTCCGAATAAGAACTCTGAGGTCAAAGGTCTGCCTCAGATTCTTGTGGCTACCGTTTACTAGTTGTGTGACCTTCAGCAAGGTCACTCTTCCCCGCTTTAAGCCTGCTTGTCATCAAAATGGGGATAATGGGCAATTCAAATGTTTATCAACAGGCTGATATACTGTGGTATATCCATGTATTGGGACATCAGTCACCAAAAAAAAAAAAAAAAAAAAAAAATGAAGACACTAACAATACGTGCAGCAACCTGCATGATGTTGGAATCATAATGAGAAAAGCCAGGCACGCTTCCATTTACGTAAACTGGGATGGAATGTATGTACTTATGCTTTCATTTAGTCTAGAACACTACATTATTTTATAATGAAAAAAAAAATACCATGAATCCTTGAGGCCAGATGCAGAGGAGGGATGCGCTGAGGGGGTAATGGAGACTGTATATTCACTGTGACAGTGGTTTCAAGGGACATGAATGTCAGCCAGGCTCAAACTGCCGACTTTAAATGGCTAAGGCTTTCTGTACTTAAACAGACTCAGTCAAGTTGATTTCAAAACCTTTGCCACGGGGAGATGGGTGTCAGGAAAGTATCTACAACACAAGCATCAAGAACTGAGTTAAGACCCTAGGAACCCAGACAAAAAGCTAAGTTTGGTGGTGTATGCCCAATACTCCAGCAATGTAGGAGCAATGCAGGCCAAAGGGCAACAGGCAGATCCCTGGAGCTCACTGGCCAGCCTAGTCAAACTGACGAAATCCAGGTTCAGTGAGAGACCATATTAAAAAAGTAAAGGTAAAAAGGTGACCTAGAGATGATGTCCCTATCAAGTGTCTCACCTTTCCATGAATGTGTACACCCATACATGCACACACACACACACACACATACACACACACACACATACACACACACACACAGACCATACACACAACACATGCACACACCTCACATACACACACACCACACATACATAGATCATACACACAACACATGCACATACCTCACATACATACACACCACACACACCCTCATACATACCACACACACCACACATACATAGACCATACACACAACACACACATACCTCACATACACAGCACACACACACACTCACACCACACACACATAGACCATACATACAACATATACATACACCTCACATACACACATCACACACCATACACACACAGATACACACCACACACACACAAATCACATACCATATACACCACACATACACCTCACATACATACATACCACACATACCTCACATACACACATACCACACACACATATCACACACACACACCTCACATACACACACACATCATACACACACACACCTCACATACACACACACCTTACATACACACATCACACACACACACGCACCTCACATACACACACACACATCATACATACACACACCTCACATTCACACACCTTACATACACACACCACACACACACCTCACTCACACACACAAACCTCACATACACATACCTCACATACTACACATACCACACACACATCATACACACATACACCTCACATAACACACACACACCTTACATACACACACCATACACACACCTCATACGCACACAAACCACATACACACCTCACATACACACACATACCACACACACACACCACACACACACCTCACATACACACACACATCACAAACACACACACCATACACCTCACATACACACACACCATACACACCTCCACATACACACACACCTTACATACAGACACCACCTCTCTCTCCCTCCCTCTCTCCCTCTCTCTCTCTCTCTCTCTCTCTCTCTCTCTCTCAAGCAGTGGCCCTATGACAACCAGCACGGCCTCTGGCCCCACACATTAACGTGCAGCATTCTCAAAGGCTGGCTGGGACATTTTATAGTTACTCCTTGAAATGGAACATTTTCCACAGTGAAGACAGTAGGGTTTGAGAATCCATTGGAAGGTGGTTCCAGGCAGAGTGGCCAACAGCCTGGAGATAATCCAGTGAGCAAGTACCAGTAGATCAGGAATTGCATTGTTTTCTTGTTATTTCCATTTGGAAGTTTCAGCCAATGAGCTCTACAAAGCAGGTTTCCTGAATTTAATATTTCTTACACAAAGCCCACATTTCTTGGTATCACAAATACATGAGCAACTGGAGAATAAAGTTACTTTAAAACTTGCCATATACTCCTACACACTGTTCCAGACTGGCCAGATCCTTACACTACCATCTCCTAGTTCAAGCAGAGGCTCTCGTCCTCCCTAAGCTCAGAGGTCCTCAGTCATAGGATGTGAGGTGAGCCATCCCTAGGACTCCCGGGGAACCAAAAAAGGCTGGATTGCACCCAGACAGGGAATCAAGGCTTTGCTGAGTGACCTTAGCAGAGATGTACAAACATCCCCCAAACAGCAGTCCTGCTGTCAAAGTCCTAAGATGGTAAGCCAACACAGGCTGGGTTCCTACTGGGTAAACAGAAAGCTTAACTCTGCAACCTTCAGGAACCTTATGATCTGGGTTTCTGTTTGTCAGGAAGGCCACTACTTCCCTTCAACTGACGGCAACAAAATACACTTGGCTCTGGATAACCAGCATGTGAACCCCACCCTGTTGACTGCTGTATAAAATCCAGTTGCTGTTCTCTGACTTTGTGAGACAGTCTGGTAGTTTGTCCCTCGATACTTCTGTTTTCTACCCACGGAGTGGTCTTGTTTGGTGATTTTGCTGCACTCACTTACAAGATGCCTTAGACTAATCCATGACCAAGGGCCACCCTCGAGCCAAGGAGAGCTACACATACAGCTCAAGGGGAAACTGTAGACTTACTTAAAACATTGTACTTTTTTAAAATGCAGTTTTTTCTTTCTTCCTTTTTTTTTCTTTCTTTTCCTTCCCTTCTTCCTTCCTTCCTGTTTTTTGTAACTTAATTGTGTGGTTCTAGAGCATGAACTTTGCAATTGACATTTTTTTCTTAATGGCAAAAAGTTGGACATGTCTTAGTGCCAGCTCCAGATAGCTCTCCAACGGAACAACTTGACCATTATCTGCCAACAAACAGATCGGCCTTTGAAGGGGGACAAATAGGTTCAGGGTCAATATGTTCACATTCAGAGTGTCCTGTGTGTGTGTGTGTGTGTGTGTGTGTGTGTGTGTGTGTGTGAGAGAGAGAGAGAGAGAGAGAGAGAGAGAGAGAGAGAGAGAGAGAGAGAGAGAGAGGATACTTCTTTCAGGAGGAAAATGAATCAACAGAAACAGACTCAGAAGAGACAGCAATGATGGAGTTAGCAGCCCACGTACTTACAGTGCTTACGAGAGACTACTGCAGCAACAGAGGACACATGGGCAAATGGAAGGTTTGATTTAAAGAAGAACTGGGGTTGGGAAAGTGGGTAAGCATGCTTGCTCTGAAAGCATGAAGGCCTGAGGATCGAATCCCCAACAACCGGGGTACGGCTGCTTGAGTCTGTAACCCCAGGAAAGCAGACTGACAAGCTGCGTGGAGTTCCGCACGACCAAGGAGGAGAGTGGACGAAGCAGAGGCCCTGGCAGGAGCACTCAGCAAAGCAGAGGTGCCAGCAGCCATCTGGGACTTAAGCTGCAGCCAAGGACTCCCTAAGGGCTCCCAGGCCTCCTGGCCCGGCCCTGACTTCCTCTAAAGAGCTCACCTTCTCCTTCGTCTGATCCAGTCAGGCTGTGCTGTCTGAGACGGCGGCTGTCAGCAGAAAACAGAAAAGGAGAGCAGAACATGAGTGTCAAACACAGACAGCAACAACCTAGAGTTAACAGCTGTCCTGGCTAGTTTTATGTCAACTTGACACACAAGCTAGAGTCATCTGAAAGGCGAGAAAATATCTCCATAAGAGCTAGCTGTAGGGCATTTTCTTACTTAGTAATCAATGCTGAAGAGCCCAGCTCATTGTTGGCAATGCCATCCCAGGCTAGTGATGGGATCTATAAGAAAGCAGGCTGAGCAAGCCATGAGGAGCAAGCCAGTAAGCAGCTCCCCTCCATGGCCTCTGCATCAGCTCCTGCCTCCAGGTTCCTGCCTTGCTTGAGTTCCTGTCCTGACTCCCTTCATTGATGTGGAAATACAAGCTGAATAAACCCTTTCCTCCTCAACTTGCTTTTGGTCATGGTGTTTCATAACAGCAATAGTAACCCTCACTAAGACAATGAATGGGTAATAAATAAAAAACTGCCCTTCTTCCATAACCTTGGTCAAACCTTTTTAGGCAAATTGGTCTTCTGTGCATGGTTGCATAGCTGTGCAACACACCATTCCCAAGGGCAGCAACCACAGACTAACATGAATGTCCCCTCCAACCCCACAGGGATGAAAGAGAGCACCTGATATATAATGATATCATTGTCTAGAGCCTTTCCCCTTAATTTTAATTAACTTCATTTTTTTTTCCCATGTAAGTCTTAGGAGAAGGCCAGGGTCAGGAGACCATCTTTACTTCTGCCCATCTGTGCTGTTACAGTGGAAAGTTTGGGCTAGTACCCTGATACCTGGACATGTAATCCTAAAAAGCCATGACCCCAGTGCCAGGCTCTTCACCCCTGAGCCATCTCTGCAGCCCTCCATCTGCTTTTTCAATGCCATGTTCAACACAGGCCAGAGAGGCAATGACAGCCAAGGCCGCACTGCTGGCACAGCTCAGTACAGGATACACAAGACCATGGGAACTTACTCTTCCATCTCCTCAGAAAACTTCTTCCCCATTCTGAAAGAGAAAGAGAGACAGACAAAGTTTACGACAACCCATGAGTGTCACACACTGGAGCACTGGGGGGGGGGGGGGGGGACGGGTTCAAGTAGGGGCAAGTCAGCATACCGCAAATGCTGTGTGTGTCTGTGTGTGTGTGTGTGTGTGTGTCTGCCAGTAACTGTGAATGTGTGCACGTGCACATGTGCAAGGGTGTACCCCCAGGCATGCTGTACTGAGTAGAAGCAGAGGTTGGATCAGCTGTATCCTTGAATCACCTCCTACTTTCTGTCTGTCTGTCTCTCCATTCCCACCTGCCCTTGGAGACAGGATTGGCCTGGAATTCCCTATGTAGACCAGGCTGGCCTGGAACTCATAGAAAGCCACTTCTTTGCATCCACCCCCTGAATGTTGGAACTGAAGGCCCACCACTATGCTCTGCCGCCATGTCTTTTGAGATGGTTTCTCTCACTGTAGTTGGTACTCACTGACTGGCTAGATGGGCTGACCAGCAAAATCAGGACCTCTGCCCAATGCCAGGGTGACAGACATACATGACCATATTACTTTTTTTATGTGGATGCTGGGGATCAGAACTCAGGTCGTCATGACTGCACAAAAGGTTACTTTACTGCCTGGGCCATATTCCCGGCCCCCTGTACAACTCCAAATTAGATTGTTGGGTTTGAGTGTTGGTAGAGCAAGAGCTGAAAATGGAAATGGATGCAGACAATGCTCGCCTCTCTCAACAACTGGCTGACTCAAAACAGCTTGCTTTTGTCAATGACTAAGGCTCTGGCGGTATTTGGTGCTGTCCTTACCAGCCTGGATACTTCACGGGAATAAAGGGGGCGTACTGGCTCCGCTGTGGAGCAAGCAGTCTTCTATCTTGTCCCATGACTGATATTGGGTGGAATCTGGACCCATGTGACAGCCATGCCTTTACCTAAGGCATCAGTTCTTACATGTCAGTGAAATGAGAGCCACTGGCAAGCCTGATGGACATGCAGACTGCCGGGCCTGGCATGAAGAGATTTCTGAGTTGGCCGATATAGGGATGGGGAACCCAGGACTACATACTATTGCTGTCATTTGTGGTAGTATTATTATTGCTATTATTATTATGTGGTATTACTATTAATAGTTTGTGTTCCTAGGAACAGAAGGGAGGTCTTGCATGTGCTAGATAAACACTCCCCTCCTGAACTATACTCTCAATCTGGGACAATGGATTTTAAACAAAATCCCAAGTAATTCTAACCTAGGAAAGTCACCACAGATACTCTGCGACTGGCAGCTGTTGGTGGTGTTTAGAGTTGGCTTTTGGGTACATGGTGGTTCCATTTTTCTGTGTCTGAAAATCGCCACAATAAGACTTGCATTTTCTTTTAAATAAATTATTTTCAGTCTGAAATCTAGCACACGGTAGAGAGAGTCTGGGCGTGGTGGCAGTGTTGTGACGGCTGGAGGCAGAATGCATGACATTCTCACTCACTCTTGTCAGTGCACAGCCAAAAATGTCACCAGGAAAAGTTTTCCTGAGGCCAACTGCCATTCCTGCAAGATGCAACCCCCCCCCAACTACTGATCATACATTAATTTTTTATCAATTAAGAAATAAAATAAAAATAGTCCAAGTTTAAATAAACTACTTTCAACTGCAGTTTCTTTACTTTTAAAAAATATTTATTAATTTTGTAAGTGTTTGTATGGGTGCTTTGCCTGCATGTGTGTTTATTCAACAAGTGCATGCCTGGTATCCACAGAAGCCAGAAAAGAATGTTGGATCCCCTGGAACTGGAGTTACAGAAAGGTGTGAGCTGCCATGTGGGCACTGGGAATTGAACCTGGGTCTTCTGGAAGAATAGTCAGTGCTCTGAATCACTGAGCCATCTTTCCAGCCCCCTATACTATTTGGTTTTGTTGTTGTTTTTAATTTATTTTAATTTCACATGTATGAGTGTTTTTAATGCACATATATATACGGGCCATGTGTGTGCCTGAAGAGGACATCTGATTCCCTGGAACTGGAGTTAGACAGTTGTAAGCTGCCATGTGGGTGCTGGGAACTAAACCCGGGTCCCTTGCAAGAGCAGTGATTGCTTATTCTTAACCACTGAACCAGCTCTCCAGCCCCACCCACTCTCGGCACTGTTTTTCAAAGTCAGAAAATGATGGGCGAGGTCAGGAGAGAGAAGGGATCAAGCAAGTGAAATTGGAAGAAAATGGAGAGCCACTCAAGGATTTGGATACTGAATGTCCCTAAAGGCTCACATGCCATAGGCCTGGTCCCCAAAGGCCTGATCCCCATAGCCTGATCCTATAGGCCTGGTCCCCATAGCCTGGTCCCCATAGCCTGATCCTATAGGACTGGTCCCCATAACCTGATCCTATAGGCCTGGTCCCCATAGCCTGGTCCCCATAGCCTGGTCCCATAGGCCTGGTCCCATAGGCCTGGTTCCCATAGCCTGGTCCCATAGGCCTGGTCCCCATAGGCCTGGTCCCCATAGCCTAGTCCCCATAGTCTGGTCCCCATAGCCTGGTTCCCATAGCCTGGTCCCCACAGCCTGGTCCCCATAGCCTGCAGTGCTATTATGAAGTGGTGAATCCTTTGAGAGGTGAGGCCAAGTTAGGTCGCTAGGTTGTGCCCCTGAAGGAGATACCTCTTTTTCAGTTGTCTACTGGCTTCCACCAGAAGTGTTAATGGATATAGACTTGAGGAGGAGATAGCCAGGAGCCCAAACAGCCCACAAAGCAAAGCTTCTGTCCCTGGGACTCACAAGAGCATGTGGTGTTTGTATAACTCAAGTAGGAGACCACCACTGTGGCCCGCCAGGCAGTTCAGACCCATTAGAGACGCTCATTTGCTCAATATGCAAAATGCAGAAGCATGGAGCTTGCTGAACCAGCACTTTAAAAGTTAATTAAATGCCAGGTTTCTTTTGAGGGGCTCCTCTGTCAATTGCTGCCTTCTTTGGCCATTCTGCAGAATACAGCTTTACTGTGGACTGAAGGAAGTAGTGGCCCCTCTCCTCCCACCTTGCAGATTTGGTAACAGGGCCCACCATCCGTTAGCAAGCATGTCTGGTCAGCCAGCAACTCATAAAGGAGAAATTCTGGCCATCTTGTGGTGGTGGCCCTTTGCAAACCACCAAAACATCTGGCCACAGGCTGCCTACTAGCTTCTCAGGTGAAGTGTTCAAAGGCTGCCTTGTTACCACCACCTTTCTGTAGAGCCCAGAGCTTGGAGCAGCACACACTTGGCCCCCTCCTGGTTCTCATACCTGTTTCTCTCAGACTTGATGCAGCCACACATTTCTCAGGAGAGTTGAGAGTTAGCGGTGGGCCTGCCAGATGCTGGGCTCTGACACCGTATAATGTATGACCTGCTATTACATATAATACATGACGTACTAGAACAATCCCCTCATCACTGTTATTCACTCCATGGCACAAGTGGAGAAGCCACCTCAGAAAGGTAAAGCAGCTTGCTTTATGCTGCCCACCTAGAGAAGAGCAGGCATGATCACACAAGCCAGGATGGCTAACGCCAAAGCTCAGCTATTTAACCCCACACTGACAGGGACGAGCAGCTCTGTATGGGTGAGAATATGTCCCTTCCATATACTCCACTAGGACGTAACTGATATTTTCTATGAAGCAGACATGCTTCAAACTTACAGTGGGGTTACAGCTTTGCCAACCTGGTGAATGAACTGTTGTTCTGTGTGATTCATTATACATTTTATAAGATGGCAGGGAGGGTTCTTATCTAGCTAAGTCACCTTCCCTTCCCCAGTCCCACCTCTTTTGCTTATTTGGTTGGCTGAGGACAAGAATGACCTCACTGTCACTGCATGACTGCAGCCACAGAAAACCTGAGAACTCTGGACTCTCCTGCTTTTATTCTGGGGTCCCAGGGAAAAGAATTTATGCTATGGAGTTTTTAAAAAAAATCACTTCTGGGGTGATTCCTCAGATGAAGGTCTATCTACCTCGTGTGCATTACCTAATTCATCTCTCTGATTGTCTTATAGCCATGTGTCCTCACTGGTCCCCTGCTATATCAAGGGCTTGGGTTGGTCATAATGATTAAAATAAGGACCACATCCAATAAGGTCCCCAACTTGCGGACATTACCAGAAGCTGATGGTGAGGCCTTCAAAGCAACCTGGGTCCCCTCTGCGGTAAGACAAGAGTCTTTGCTGCTTCCGTGCAAAGGCCAGAAGTAGCCCTGATGCATACCTCGTGGAAATAGTCTCTCATACCTAATGGAACACTTCAGAGATCTAAATGGAGATAAAGTACCACGGCTCAGAGGACAGCCAGGATTCTATCTTTATGCAGCATGACAATGTTCAGTGGTTAATTAGACACCGTTAACCTAGTTTAGCAGGGGACATAACAGGGATAAATGGGGGGAAGTGTCCTTGAAGCCTCGTAATAGCGATGGCACACACTAGACCCCAGACCTGCCTCCCTGCTAAAGCACAACCGGTGCCAAATGGACCCCAGAGTCAGTGGACATTCCCAACTGCCATTGTCTCTGATCCAATAAGCCAAGTGAAAAGTTTGGACACATAAGGACAACCACAACTCCTGGAGGTGAAAAGACTCTAAAGGCACATGGCTCCATTGCAAAAAGCTGAAATTCTGCAGCAGGGGCTGAGTTCGCAGAAGAGACTTAGAGTGACATCAGGAAGTACATAGTGGCCAAAGCTCCTTGAAGTTTCCAAACTTAGTCTCCTGTGGAAGGATGCAATCAAAATAAATGGTGTTTTCCTACGAAGTATCCTAGACTCACAATTAGAAATGCCTGATAGAAACCTTACAACTTCTGGGCCCGGTGGTGCACACATTTAATCCCAGATGAGACAGAGGCAGGTAGATTTCTGAGTTTGAGGCCAGCCTGGTCTACATGGTGAGTTCTAGGCCTGCCAAGGCTACATAGTGAATCACTGTCTCAAAAACAAACAAACAAACAAATATAAACAAAAACTCACCTTACTGCAGGGGAA